AACGGAGGCAGGGATGGACGGACGACCGGACGGACGGGCGGACGGACGGGCGGACGGACGGACAGACGGACGGACGGACGGACGGACGGACGGACGGACGGACGGACGGACAGACGGACGGAAGGACAGGCGGACGGATGGACAGACGGACGGGCGGACGGATGGACGGAAAAATGGACGGACGGACGGACGGACGGACGAACAGACGGACGGAAGGACGGACGGGCGGACGGACGGCGGGTGAGAGGGCGGACGAGTGGGCGGACGTTTACATTAGCGGCAGCCTGTCCAGCTGGCGGCTGTCTATGGCGGTTTTGTCACGGAGGCAAAATATTTACCACATCAACAGCGGCTACAGGAGGAACGGCCTGTCGAAACACGGCCGGCGGCTGCTGGCAGCGCGGGGCTGTCGGGCCGGTGTCGGGGGAGCTGCCGACCTGGAGCTGGGCGGAGCTGTCGGTCAGGAGTCGGGAGAGCTGTCGGCCTGGAGCTGGGCGGAGATGTCGGCCAGGAGTCGGGGAGCTGTCGGCCTGGAGCCGGGCGGAGCTGTCGGCCAGGAGTCGGGGAGCTGTCGGCCTAGGGCTGGGCGGAGCTGTCGGCCTAGGGCTGGGCAGAGCTGTCGGCCAGGAATCGAGGGAGCTGCCGGCCTGGAGCTGGGCGGAGCTGTCGGCCAGGAGTCGGGGGAGCTGCCGGCCTGGAGCTGGGCGGAGCTGTCAGCCAGGGGTCGAGGGAGCTGCCGGCCTGGAGCTGGGCGGAGCAGCCCCTCACTGGTGGCTACGACAAGGGCGTACTACTTAAACACACGCCTGCTGAGGCCACCTCAGGGCTTCATCAGGCATGGAGCGGCATCACTATCATCGGCGTACCGAGCTTCTCTACATTGACTTTCTTAACCACTTGGAATATTCCTCTTTGACCATTGACCTAACATGAGTGAGTCTACGCACAATGCCGCTTACGACAGGCGCTTGCGGCTCATAAAATATATCTATATTTGTATCCAGAAATATACCTATGAATATACCTATACTTGTCCAGATATCCACATGCACATCCAGAAAATCTACAAAATTGTTTTCCCCGGAAGGCGGGGTTCAGACCGTTAGCGGACGCCCGGTATTCATTCATTGAACTTAGTGACTCCTTTGTTCCTGTAACACGCGCATCAAAACATGCCATTGCAGCCCAGTCCGGGCGGCTCGACGGCTTCATCACATGAACTACTGGACGACAAACGCCAGCAGTGTCGGACCTTCCGCCAACGTTGCGGCTCAATTGGAGGGCCGTTTAAGCTGATTGCCAGCAGCTACGGCGGAAGCGCCGCATTGACAGTGAAACATTACCCTTAATAACTTACACGAGCTTACTACATTCGAAACATGTTCCACGCGCGTTGCTCATTGCATACTTCAGGCCACACGGGCGCACACGTCATGACGTTATGACGTTATGACACACGCGTTAAGCGCAGCCCCCATCATGTCAAAAATAATGTCAGCAGCCCTCACAGCGTCGTGCGCAACGAACACTGTCGAGTATTCATTGTCGAGTGCTTTGAGATAACATCAAACGTGACATTCTCGCTCTCCTTATTGGTGGGCTGTGACATGGGCAATGCCACCCCGGAACGCATCTATTTTCGCGAGTGGAGGGAGTGACGGCCACGCGGGCATGGGGCCTCCATTACATTGGGATGTGAAGTGTAGAATTTTGCGTGCGTTTATTTTGATAGCACATCATAACGTTCTGCTAAATTTGTGGCAGTACTGACTGACCTGCCCATCCATCTCTCACCATCACGTATGTGAATCATGTCGGGTATCCTGCCCGCCTTTGCTGACTGGTTGCTGAATTCCAGCCTTGGCGACGGCTGCTGCCCACCGGCTGCGCCCCCGGACAAAGCCACGCCTCAAATGTAACTGGAGTTCATCCCTGTGTTGACGCCGTTTTATGTGGTCAAAATGCAAAAAAGGTGAGCCTGTCCAACGGTTACTGGGGCTTGACCTCACGGACAGTGTTGGTTACAGTCATGCTTGTACCACGTGCTGACCTCAATACCAGCCATCGCTCCGAGTGTGACCCCGTCCCGGCCCACCCCAGTGTCAGGGGCGCGGTAATTTTGGGATGGGGATATTTTGAGGGGCTGTTTTACCGCACCACACCACTGACCTCGTACCCCTCAGTTTGGGGCCTTTAAAGCTAGGGAGAAACAGCGCGCCCCTCCTCTGCTCTCCTACTCCGCACAATTGCTACAATCCAGGCCCTGCATACACGTCTCCGGCCATTTCGGAGCACAGCAACGACCCATCGCGAGCTTAATCACAGCCCCGGCGTGCCTTGGGGTACACCGTCGACCCGGCCAGCCGTTGGCTCTGTGGCGTGCCTAAGATGACGTAGACACCGTAACTCCGCGCCAGTCTCTGTGCTCCCGTTACCTCTGCTCTGTGTCGCAAGGCACGGGGAGCAAGACTGTGCCGCAGGCGAGGCGCAAGACCTGCCTCCGCTCCTTCGCATCGAGTACCTTAGCTGCTTCAGTCGGTGAAGGCGCAGCTGCAGTCAACCACGCTGCCGGCCGCCGTGAATTCTGCGCCGTTACAGGGGCGCCGTTCAGGAGCGCCCGGCGCCCGCGTCCTCTGGAGAGGAGGCGGCGGACCGCGTGTTCCGCGCCGTTGAAAGGGCGCCGTTCAGGACCGCCCGGCGCCCGCGTCCTCTGGAGAGGAGGCGGCGGACCGCGTGTTCCGCGCCATTAAAAGGGGCGCCGTCCAGGAGCGCCTGGCGCCTGCGTCCTCTGGAGAGGAGGCGGCGGACCGCGTGTTCCGCGCCGCTAAAAGGGCGCCGTCCAGGAGCGCCCGGCGCCCGCGTCCTCTGGAGAGGAGACGGCGGCTGGACTGGAGGCGGTGGACCGCGTGTTCCGCACCGTTAAAAGGGCGCCGTCCAGGAGCGCCCGGCGCCCGCGTCCTCTGGAGAGGAGACGACGGGCCGCGTGTTCCGCGCCGTTAAAAGGGCGCCGTCCAGGGTCTAGGAGTGCCCGGCACCCGCGTCCTCTGAAGAGACGGCGGCTGGGCCCGGGGCCGGGGGCCGGCGGCCTGCGAGCCCCGCGTCCCCGCAGCCATGCCTCATCACTCAACGCTTCTCGCAGCGTCGGTGTGGTCGACCGGTGAATGGATGCACGCACGATGACACAGGGGGGGGGGGGGGGGGGGGGGGGGGGGTTCCATCGCGAGGCAAGTCAGCTGGCTTTAATACCTTTACTGTGAGCATTAATGCTGAGACCGACAACCCGATCTTTCTCAGTGAGATGCGTTAAATCCTCCTTGTGGACTCTGAGAACCGCTTCATTTAGAACCGGACGGATGCGTGGGCGTCAGATGACGAGGCAAACGTCGACAGACACCCACACTGATAGGGCAGCCACCGTCCGTCAGCAGTCTCGGACTCCGAACAAGGGACTGAGTTCGATGCAGGCAAACGTTCCAGTGTGTCGCAGCATATGACACTATTCAGCGGCGACCGAAACGTTCCACTTAAAAATAGCGTCGAGACGCTTGTTTTGAATGTGCGATGACGTCCTAATTGGTAGCATGCATTCAATCTGTCATAAATACTCGGGCACAAACGTACTCACAGCTAACGAACCACAGAGCAAGAGGATGGTTATAAACGGCCGCTACTACCATATGCCAGACTTCCGACACGACTGCGTCACAGCCCGAGCGGACGCAATGACGTCAGAGACATGATGAGCGCCCGGCATCCGTCCATTGAGACAGCAAAAGCCCACGGAATGCGCCTCTACATCTCTCCCCGCCATGCCGCGCTTCTGCAACAGCGTCGCAAGTCCCCATCGCGCCGCCGTAACTCGCCGCAACGCCACCGTAACTCGCCGCGAGGTGCAATATGCCCCCGAGCACGTCTCTGCGGCGGCGGCTGCGTGGCCGGCCGGGAGCTGGGCCGGCGCCGCCGGCCGCCGCCGGCAATCTCCGGTCGGGTCCAGCTCCGGTAACGAGCAGTCGTTGTCGGAGCCGCCATATCGGCCGGGCCGCATTCCGGGACGGCCGGCCGGCCGGTCGGCCCGTCGGCAGAGCGGGGTCGGAGCTTGACCGGACGCGGTAAGGCAGGGGAGCGGCCGAGGACGGCGGTGCAGGGACGGGAAACATCGCTGGAGACAGGTCAGGAGAGGCGAGACACGCGTCAGGAGAGGCAGGACACGCGTCTGGAAGGGCGAGGCACGCATCAGGAGAGGCAGGACACGCATCAGGAGAGGCATGACACGCATCAGGAAAGGCGCAAGGCACGCGGCGGAGCTCTGGAGGGGCGAGCGGAAGTGTGACACCAACGCGCAGCGGCGCGGCGCCAAACTCGCGTGTGGTGCTGGGGAGCAGACAGGAGAGGTGAACGGTCACAGGCATGCATGAAACACGGCAATCCGTGAAGTTGTTGAACTTAAAGGTTGGAAAGCTGGAAACGTAAAGCTTGCGTTTTCAGCGTTTTCGAAATCGACGTTTTGTTTGGCGACCTAGCAAGACAACTGCTCCCCGCCATACACCTGCCTTGTTGCCTGCTTGCTTGCTTGTCTCAGATTGTTACTTGACGAGGTGCACCTGTTACCCTCTTGCGATGAACAAACTGTCGTCGGGCGCGTGTACAGTGCACCCAGTGTTGGTACATCCCAGCGCAAAAAGACTGCGACTCTTTCCGCTGACACCGCGCCCACGAACATTACAGTGAGAGCCTCCGAACGTGGCGTTGGTGGCCGTGGTCGCCACTGGGACCCCGGACAAACATGTTTTGCATGCATGCATGCATGCAGCGTCTACCCCTGTGTACGCGTCCATTCGTCGGAATCGTTTCGGTGGTTTATGATTTTAATCGAGACTCAGACCAGAATGACGTATAACGGTATTGCAAATCAGGTTCAGCATTCAACCACTGGAGAATGATGACAGGCTCCTTGCAGATGCACTGACTGAAGGTTTAGAAACAGCGAGAAACAGAAGATCTCATTATAGTCTTGGTCTTTATTCCGCAGTTATGAGGATGCCACAAGTAGCCATTTGCACACAAGTTAGCGACAGGAGACAAAAGTTCCACGGTTCACTCGGTGAGTCCAACACATCACTTCAGTTACCATGGAAACCATTCAAAGATGAGGGGTGCTCGGGCGAGATGTTTCACTGTCAGCAAGAAGAAAGCTCACGTTCAGTCCACAAACCATCGCATGTTCACCGTTGCAAAGTTACAGGTGGCGGCGCATACAAGAGTCCCAGGACCCCGAAGCCCGCCGCGGTAACTCGCTGGCTTACGTTATGGTCTTGAACACCATTGACAAGCGGCTATTGATTCACCGTCGGACCGACGCCCAAGCCAAGACGCAAGGATGCGTCGCGGCTGGTTACGCCATGGCTGAAGTTAACGAGGTCCGCTGGCGAGGCTCAGTGCGTTGTCAACCTTTCCGGCTTGTTTCAGTAACTGAGGAGCACCATTCTTCCGACCGGGGATGAATGAAGGCAGGGAGCAACCCTGGAGGTGCTAGCATGCAACCTGTAAACCTGTCCTGCAGAATGTCTAATAAATATTCTGTTATAAATCCACCAATCACGGGTCGATTTCGCACGGCGCACATCCGGCCCGGGCAACAGCGAACAGCGACATGTCCAAGACCAATGCAAAAAACGAGCTATGGCGGACTGTGACGTCACACCGCCAGCCATGACGTCACACAGCGGATGAGTCTTCAGCTTGGACCGGCACTGCCGACTCAAAAGCAGTGCGCAGCGCTGCGCGGTCCAGGTGCCGACCTGAAACACCGGTCATGCGTCATACGCGGATAGCCGCAAACCCCGGTCACACCACAGGACAGCGCCAGCCTCCGGTACCACGCCTGGGGACATGAACCTGGTCCACCACACACAGTAACCTTACAGCCTCGGTCATCTGACACACTGAGTCATCCGAAACACTGAGTCACCTGACACACTGAGTCACTTGGGACATTGAGCCATCTTACACACTGCGTCATTTGAGACACTGAGTCATCTGAAACAAAGACTCATCTGAGACACTTAGTCATGTGAGACTTGTGCAGGGCGCCGACCCCCCCCCCCCCCCCCTGTTGTCCCGCAACAGTTGGCACCGTTGCCCATCATTGACCTACGCGGCCGTCAGCACCGTTCCGTGACCCGGCGAGCCGTCCGACCCCATTATCACACTCGAGCGGCCGGCGGTCCAGTTCTTGCTGCCGCCAGACGCGCGCTGACCCTCCGCCGCGCCGCAAAAAGCGGCGAGCGCGGCACTTCTGAGGCGGCGAGTTCGGCGCGGCGCGGCTTTGAGCGGCGCGGCCCCCCCGGCAGGGCCAGCGGCGGCGCCACAAACAGCGCGGCCCCGTATCGCCGCCGCCTCCCCGCCGCGCGCCACCGAGACGGAAGGGCCGCCCGGCGCGCCGCAACCGCCGCCAGGGATCCGCGCACGCACCGGCCGCAGGTGACGACGGCGGGGGCGGGGGCGGGGGCGGGGCGGCGGCTGACGCCGGGGCACGGTACGGCACGGCCGCGGACCGGCACGACAGCAGCAGCATGGCGAGGGGCGGACATACAGGTCGCACGCCAGCGAACCTATTTGGGTGCGCCTGCAGATCGACCATTAACCCGAGGTCGGCGGACACGCTCACACTCGCGCGCGCACCACCGCAGCAGCACACTCAGACACAGGACACGTCCATCGTTCCAAAGAAAACACGCTCCGCGGCTGGACAACGTTGAGCTTCTCGGATATGTAGACCAATTCAGCACATAGGACATCCCAAAATGACGCATATCACGAGTTATGCGGCGCTCCATGACAAAGGCAGCACAGCGCTGCCTTTTCGAGCAAAACTCGTGGCCGTTTTTGGCTGCATCGACTTGCACTCGGGGACACGTCTCACGATGCCAAATGTCACATGCGCTTTTCTTAATGGGTGAGCATCTGTGCAGCGCCTCATGTGAGGGCCAGCAGCGACACCATACCCGACGCACAGCGGAGATCAGCATAGTCTCTATCAAACGATACGACACAGCGCACGAGGCCAAACACGACAGCGCACGAGACCAAACACGACACCGCCGCGGCCCATCAACAGCCAACCCACGCGCGCCGAACAGCCCGTAACACGGGGGCTGGCCGCCGTCCCGCGGCGCCGGTGCGGGCCGGCCGGCTCAGGCGGCGGCCGGCCAGCTGGGGCGCGCACGCTCGGCTGGCGCTGACAGTCGCTCACGGCTGACGGCGCCCGGGTACGGCGACACGGCTAATGATCCGGCAGCCGGGCCGGGCCGGGCCGGGCCGCGACACGCCGCCGCCGCGCCGCCATTGTCGGCCGGCTCCGGCGGCGGCGCGGCCGGCGCTGAGCTCGTCCCGCTAGTGACGAGACGGCAGCCACCGCCGCCGAGGGGTCGCGAGGCGCGACCGTGCCAGCTAAGCGACGTTGAAGGTGCGCCGATGGGCCAGCGGCGTTCCGCGGCTTAACCCACACTGTACCATATGAATATGGTTTTGACAATTTTCTTGTTTCGTGTTCGAGAGAGGCTCTTTTTGCGCCATTAAACACGACTTGAGGCAAGGTATCGTAAGGTTATCAGCTGAAAATTGGGCCTTAAGATAAGGCATTTCTTAAGGACAAATACAGAGAGTGAGGGAGAGAGACATTACTTTTCCACTTGAGCGCTTATTATCCACAATTGTATCAACGAGTATCTCGTAACTGGAAAATAAAGGAGCATGGCACTGGCCCGTGCCGTCATTCAACCTTCCATAACACCGGTCTTTGCTGGATCCAATCCTGTTCCAAAATATTGATTGCATCTAAATCATCGCATGACGGGCGGAGTTGGGTTCGATCAAACCCCATGGAGCTCTCGACCGTCGTGTCACAACGATGCCGAAGAACCGACAAGGCCTGCTCGCAGAACAACCACACCTGGCTGAAACGAGATTTCTCTGCCCAGCACGGAGATGCCAGCGCAACTCCGCCCCCCCGCGTCCATCGCCGCGGCCGCTGCAGCGTCTGCGCGGGCGCGTCTGAGCCCGCCGGAAGCCGGTGTATCCTGACTGAATCAGGGCACACGGACTGCCGGCTGCCGGCGGCCGAGCCCGCCCTGCCCGCGTGTACCCCGACTAACTCAGGGCACACGGACTGCCGGCTGCCGGCGGCCGAGCCCGCCCTGCCCGCGTGTACCCCGACTAACTCAGGGCACACGGACTGCCGGCTGCCGGCGGCCGAGCCCGCCCTGCCCGCGTGTACCCCGACTGACTCAGGGTACACCGGCTGCCGGCTGCCGGCGGCCTGAGCCCGCCCTGCCCGCGTGTACCCCGACTGAACTCAGGGCACACGGGCTGCCGGCTGCCGGAGGCTGAGCCCGCCCTGCCCGCGTGTACCCTGACTGACCGATGCAGATGAGCCGCGCGAGCCGGGCTTCGTCGGGCCGCCACCGGCTGGTGTACTCGGTGTCGCAGATCTCGCCCACCGCCTGCAGGATCAGCCGCCGCGGCTGACCGGCCACGCTCACCACACCCTGCGCGACACACGGCGGCGGCGGTCACGGCAGGGCGCGCGACAGAGGCCACAATACGACGGTGATAAGCGCTGCAGCAGTGGCTGGATCAAGCATGGGCTTCTGGGTAAACTCGTAAAGTGGCACCCGTGGCTGATTGAACGACAGATATATCGCAAGAAAATGCAGCAGGAGACCGCCATATCGGCAAGACGGTATTGGCCCCACGGAGTTCCATGCTTTACGCTGAGTTAAGCTCGTTTTATTTTACGTCGTCTCTTATGCTGCGAGGGATGCCGCGCCTTGCGCGGTTAATTTTACACGGAATGAACGGCGGCTAGAGTGCGGCACCATAGGCCACCATGGATCGGGACAGGAGCACTCCTCGCGGCCTATTCATGGGTGACAAGTAGTCCAGTGGTGGGGACAACGATAACAATCCACAGGCCGTGCGGGCGACGGAACAAGGACACGGCACCGACGGCTGATAGCGGGCTCATCGCAGACCCGATCAAAATAAACACAATGTTGCGTACCTGGTAAAGACCTCCATGAACGCGTTTATCAGTAGCGAGACAACAATCGAGGACTGCTGCGAGACCGACAGCACAAACTACTCTCTACGACTCTCAGATACACACCACAGCGCTCCTATCACAAGCTCAACGCTCTCTGATGTTCACCCTAAATCACCACGACATAACACAAAACACAGCGCACAGAAGAATGGGGCTCGAGCATGCCGCACCACGGTTCCCGATTTTTGATGATATTTTCATATCGGCGCGGGACAACTCACTCTCACAGACGGCGTGAAAGAGTGCTCCTATTTTGGGCACTCGGCGGCCGGGAGGCATTCAGCGGCGGCTCGGCCTGCATTCACCGCCCGTTCACCAGAAGCCAGCGCGTTTGTGCCGGCTGGCGGCCGGGAGAGGCTCTCCACGATCCGATCAGCGACCTGATAATCCGCGGCCGCGCCACAGCCGGCCGCACTACGGAAGTGTACACCGCCGCCGCCGGCAAAAAATCTCCTTTTCAGGGGCGCAGCGCCGCCTTTCACCGGGTGGAAAACTATTATGACAAGAGTTTTATCCCGCGGGCGAAGGCGGCGGCGTGGCCGGCCGGCCGGCCGATCCGCGGCCGGTGCCTGGGAGCCGTGCGCCACCACTCATCCACTACAGGCAGCAGCGGGCCCATTGATATCATACTACCTTTTATATTCATGAGGTAAACAGCGGCCTTTGTCGGGCCGGCCGGCTCGCGGTCTTTCATTAAGTGCGTGTGAATGGAGTTTACCGGGGCAGATAGAACTGGCCCACTGTGCGGCCGGGACAAAGGCGTCGACCGAGAAGCGCCGCCGCTCTGCCCACCGCTCCGGCGCTCTCTCTCGGGCGTCCCGGCCGCCAAGCTGGGCCGAGCTGGCTCCAAATGGCTGCCGGATTAGCGGCGCGGTCGGCGGCCGGGCGGCCGTGTTCAGCGCCGGTCAACGGCGTCGGCAGGCGTCACGAAGGGATCGCAGATCGGCCTCTGCCAAGACGGTCCCGCAGCGGTGTCCCGCCACCGCTGCACCCGCAGCCACAGTCACAGCCACAGCCAAGGACACAGCCACGGCCACAGCCACAGCCAAGGACACAGCCACAGCCACAGCCACGGCCACGGCCACAGTCACAGTCATAGCCACAGCCGCAGCCGCAGCCACAGTCACGGCCACGGCCACAGCCACGGCCATACCCACAGCCACAGCCACAGCCACGGCCACAGTCACAGTCACAGTCACAGTCACAGCCACAGCCACAGCCACGGCCACGGCCACGGCCACGGCCACGGCCACGGCCACGGCCACCGCCACGGCCACCGCCACAGCCACAGCCACGGCCACGGCCACGGCCACGGCCACGGCCACAGTCACAGTCACAGCCACGGTCACGGCCACAGCCGCAGCCACAGCCACGGCCATACCCACAGCCACAGCCACAGCCGCAGCCACGGTCATACCCACAGCCACAGCTCGGTGACGGAGGAAGCCACCAGGCGTGTCACTTTCTGAGATCAGTTAGATGGGGGGGGGGGGGGAGGGGAAGGCTGACTCACTAGGGTTACCTGACCTTCTCTCAAATCACGATTTCTCTCTAGATTTCGGCCACTTCGATTAGCATCCCTGAATCACATAATTATAATAGCCCCCCCCCTCTCAATTACACAACGTGACACCCCTGGTAGCCACACCGGTGGCTACCAGGGGAAGGAGGACAACAGTACACAGCCACAAAGCTGCAGCAAGACACTGACACCCGTGCAGTCACCCAGAGCCATGCCAAAGACACCGATCACGGAACGCCACGGGACAGCGCCGATGGCAGTGCCGAGCCACCGACAGTCACGGGACAGCGCCGATGGCAGTGCCGAGCCACCGACAGTCACGGGACAGCGCCGACAGCAGTGCAGCGCCGCCTCCAGCCACGGGACAGCGCCGACAATGGCGCCGAGCCGCCGACAGTCACGGGAAACGGTTGGCAACAGAGCGCAGACGTGCAATGGACGACATTCACAGCACATGTGCGCCACGATCAGACAACTGACAGTATCCACCGCACATGGACGGCACAGACAGACAACTGACGACATCCATAGCACATGTGCATTACGATCAGACAACTGACGACACACACAGTTCATGAACACAACCAGACAAATGACGACATCCACAACACATGGGCGGCACAGACAGACAACTGACGACATCCACAACACATGTGCAGCACAATCAGCCAACTGACGACACACACAATACATGAACACTACCAGACAAATGACGACATCCACAGCACATGGACGGCACAGACAGACAACTGACGGTATCCACAGCACATGGGGGGCACAGGCAGACAATTGACGGCACACACAGCACATGTACGGCACAGATAGACAACTGACGACATCCACAGCACATGGACGGCACAGGCAGACAACTGGCGACACACACAGTACATGAACACGACCAGACAAATGACGACATCCACAGCACATGGACGACACAGACAGACAATTGACGACATCCACAGCACATGGACGGCATATACAGACAAGAGCAGCATCCACAGCACGAACAGAAAACTACGAGAGATGTTAGCAGCAAGGTACAGATAGACGGCTGAGGACATCGTGGACATCGTGAACAAGTGGACAGCGCGTTGAAAGGATTGTAACCCACCTTCATCCTGAGCATCTCCAACGGTTCACCTCTCGTGTTCAGCACGTTCTTCTCCCAAAGCAGACCGTGCACAAACGATTCGAAGTCTTCCTGCCGCACGCTGCCACTGACCTCCAGAGTAACCGTACTCAAGGTCTGAAACCGGAGCCAGTGCCAGACCAGGCGGCAGAGCAACCGTACTCAAGGTCTGAAACCGGAGCCAGTGCCAGACCAGGCGGCAGAGTAACCGTACTCAAGGTCTGAAACCGGAGCCGGTGCCAGACCAGGCGGCCGATGGCGTTCATGGCGATATTTTTTCCTTACAGTTGAAAAGGCCGCAAATCCATCACGTGAGCCCGAGCTACACCAGGCGGTGGAGAAATCGGCATATTATGTCCTTTGAAAAATATCTAAGCAAAGCAACACTGCATGCTGTGTCACTCGCTTGACAACACAGATAGTGGTGCTACAGCGCTGCAAGAAACCTTCTGATAGTATGTCACTGCGAATGTCACATTCGCCCATCCACTAATGATATTCGAATCCAAACAAGCTTTCGGGTTTCCTGCCGACTTACCTTGTCTATGTGTGTTCCTTCCGGTAAAGTGAATTGTTTTTCTACACTGAAACAAGGCAGAAAACGATGTTTCAATTTCACCATGCCTGCCATGCCAATGCTGGGTAGTACGGGCGCAAGAGCCAGGGCAGGGGACTGAGACCAGGGTGCTTGCACTTTCCGTAAAAGTTTAACATTAACCTTGTAATCATACGTGGAAAGAGCCGGTAGTACGGGCGCAAGGGCCAGGGCAGGGGACTGAGGCCAGGGTGCTTGCACTTTCCGTAAAATTTAACATTAACCTTGTAATCATACGTGGAAAGAGCCACGTTCTACATACGGTTCTACATACGGTACCCGCCCTCACCCATCAATGCATTCTTGCGCCCATGCCGGGAACATAAGGCGCGGTTCAGGTAATCTGACTATGACACGGTATTAGGACACGACCGTAAAAGTTTAACATTAACCTTGTTATCATACGTGGAAAGAGCCAAGTTCTACATACGGTTCTACATACGGTACCCGCCCTCACCCATCAATGCATTCTTGCGCCCATGCCGGGAACGTAAGGCGCGGTTCAGGCAATCTGATTATGACACGGTATTAGGACACGACCTATTTTTTATGTCTTGGTATAGCTCCGGTAATCTAGTAGTGATATAGTATTGTGACCTGATTCGTTTTTTCAAGGCCGTCCTCAAGGTTCGGCTAATAATCACAATCTGCTTGTCTTTCACTTGTTCTGTTTTTTTCCTAACCACTTAGCGAGGAGTACCGCTACTTTGCATTTTGGAACACTGCGTGGCAATGTCAATCGCTGGGATTGCGACCGACCAATTCCTAGCCACACAGTGACGGATGATGGCAAGATATTTTACTTCCAGCTTCAGCGATCTACAGCGCGAAGTCGCCCGAAAACAGCCGACAAATCTGCAGCTTCCAAGGACTGCACAAGACAACCAAGACAATTACCCGAAGAATAAGAACATAACGTGTGTTGCGCAGAAACCCAACAGAAGTCTACACCAGAAGGAGGCGCTCGTGGTCTCGCCAAGTTCGATCCCTATACTCCAATCCACCCTCCCCGTTCCCCTGACAAGCAACATTCTCGCGTGCGCCCATCCGACCACCGCGCGGCGTCGCCTGCTGCCCCCGCGTGGGCAAACAGAGGAGGCGCGCGCGCGCGGGCGCGGGCGGCGGCGGGGGCGGCGGCGGGGGCGGGCGATAGTTGTCGGCGGGCACTGACGCCGCTAGCGCACCATTAGCGCCCGGCTCCGGCCACCAGCGGCCGCCACACACAATGCCCCGCTGACAGGTGCCCGGCATCGTTTATAACGCGTATGATAATTTTATGGAGCCGGCTTTTGTCGAGCCGGGTTATGACAGGGATGCGCCAACCGGCCCCCGGCGGCGACAGATTGGCGCAGATTAATTTCAGCGAGGGGGCGGACGCGGGATTATCTGCGGCGCATTAAACGGCAATGCGTTCGGATGGGCTGGGCGACACCGAGCGCGTCCGACAAATATTGCCGCGCGATAAGGGGGGATGGGGGGGGGGGGGGGCACAACTAGTTATTGAGCCACCGATACATTTTCAAGTCAGTCATGGCAGCTTTTGAAAACGTTGAACTATCGCAACGGTGGCGGACGGAAAACGGAACGCAAAATGCGAAACGTATCTTGAAAAGCAAGTCGATTACCTCACAATGTAGGAAAGAAAAACTGCGGGTAAAAGATGATCGAAGCTCTTTGATGATGGACCACAGCTTGTTTTAATCAACACAATTTGACGCGCGCGATGTCATTACCCAAATGAGCGCCATTTGGCCAGTTGCACGCAGTTGCTCGAGTGAAAAAAGAGTACTGGGCTACACGCAGAGGAGCATACGAGAGGCCGGACAGAAGGGTGCTCTTGACCCACCTATTGTCTCACCCTCAATTACTATGCTGAAGGCGCTGATCCCTGCACTCACACCAGCCGAACAACCAGGTGGCCCAGGGAAGTTCAGCTTTCAGCATGTGCTTTTCAACTTGCCTATGACGATGATGTGTGGCGAGGAACGAAAAAACAACACACACTCAGCTACCGTGGCGAGCGCTCTTGGTCCCACGCCAAAGCGTCGACGAAAGCCACATCCATGCGCCTGGGTCTAATTTACAACGTGGTTGACAGTAAATTAACGTCGATGTGTTTCCCCCATACGGAGAAAACATGGTAGGATTCTTTTCTCGGCAAGAATATCCGTTAAACTAGAGCTACTCTACTGGAGTCGTCGTTGCAGGGTTTTCATGACATGTGCTTAGCGGGACTTTGGTCAAAAAGGCACTGCTGCAAACCAGTCGGCAACATCTTAAAAACGACCGACGTCTACTTACTTCTGAAAGTCCACCTGGTCATAAGCATGAAGATCTAGGATGAAGTCCAGATTCACCCTGGAAAGAGGAAGAAACGTTTAATAGAAAGACGACGTTAGGTACCACAACTCACAAAAATGGCACCTATGCAGCTGCTGGATAACACTGACGTTCACCCATAAGCAATATTCCATCCCTTCAGATCTATGTTATGGATAAGTGTAATAGAGATCGTATAAATACATATAATAATGCGGCTAAATATAAATACATTCTACACGCATACATCCATCGTATGGATACATCCTACACGCAACGTTTTTTTGCCGGCTTCTCGCTGTGCTCTAAATACAATGACGTAGAATCTCGAACACAATTCAATAACCATTAAAGGAAGCGCAACGTAGAAATTCACAGGCAATTTCATAAGGGGGTTCCACGTCCACAGCTGCCACTCTTTCAGGCAATGAAAACATTTGACAGAAAGGAGGACATTTACAAGGGTTCATAAAACGTTCGCTAATGGTCTTCCTGATGTGCGGAACAAGTCGTATGCTAATCTGAAGCGCAGTTGGAAGTCGATGATGACTTCTGCTTCGCTCCCAAAATATGCTGCAAAAACATCAAACGCGCGCTAAAACATGGGACGCCTGGCCGCGCTGACATACGCACATCTGATAACGCAATAGTGATCGTTGGAGTATCTATGAGAGCATGCCATCGCAGACGACGCCTGACATCCGGCAGGGAGGAGCGTTCGAGCTGAGCGCAACCGCCGCCCTACGGCGCGACGGCACCGGTGCAGTGATGCCTGCGCACACTGGAGCACAACACATTGGTTACCTCGCTGCCGAGCTTCATCGCACTACCTGACCAGTGACCGCCGAGCCGCGTTACCAGCGACTGCAGTGGCCCATCCTACCGCAGGCACAGCCGCAGCGGGTCGGCTGATGCCTCATCTACAGCATCTGCGGTACACCTCCGTCTGACCACTGCAGCCCGCCGCCTGGCCGTCTGACCACCACCGTCAACCGTCTGATGCCTTATCTACAGCGTCTGCGGTACACCTCCGTCTGACCACTGCAGCCCGCCGCCTGGCCGTCTGACCACCGTCAACTGTCTGATGCCTTATCTACAGCGTCCGCAGTACACCTCCGTCTGACCACTGCAGTCCGCCGCCTGGCCGTCTGACCACCGTCAACTGTCTGATGCCTTATCTAGAGCGTCCGCAGTACACCTCCGTCTGACCACTGCAGCCCGCCGCCTGGCCGTCTGACCCCCACCGTCACCGTCTGATACCTTATCTAAAGCGTCTGCAGTACACCTCCGTCTGACCACTGCAGCCCGCCGCCTGGCCGTCTGACCCCCACCGTCAACCGTCTGATGCCTTATCTACAGCGTCCGCAGTACACCTCCATCTGACCACTGCAGCCCACCGCCTCGCCGTCTGACCACCACCGTCAACCGTTTGATGCCTTATCTACAGCGTCTGCGGTACACGTCCGCCTGACCACTGCAGCCCACCGCCCGGCCGTCTGATCGCTGACATACAATCGACAATTTGATCACCGCTAGTGTACCGAGCCTGCGCCCCGACCTGCAGCGTGACGTCTCCAGCAGGCGGGCGGCGCCGTTGATGCCCCGCAGTCGGGCCCGCACCTCCGTCAGCTGATCGGCCGTCACCAGGTCCGTCTTGTTCAGGATCAGCAGGTCGGCCAGCGCCACCTGCCTGCGACGCCGGGTAGCGCGCGTCACGCACCGGACACCTCCGAGAGCGGGGCACATGGTACGGATTCAGACCATGGCACGGCATGAGCCATGTGCGGGTCCCATCTCCAGAGAACACGCGATCGTTACCGCCCGAGATCACAGCCGCCGTTAGATGTCAACGTTTCCCAGCAGCTTTGGTCGCACGTCCGTCGTAAATCGCCACCATCGCTAGCGATCAAAATAATTCCCATCAGCGTCACATTTGAACACCGACGTCATCTCGACATGGTCATCGCTACGGCTAACCGCCCCCGCTGTCGTCAGCGACCGCAGCTGCCGACGCCCCCAGCCCAGCGGCGCCGTCCGCTGAAGCCATCGCCGTTCACCGGCACCGCCTCCCCTCCACCGCCCCACCAGACCGAGGGCGGCCATCAGCTGTCTCAAGCGCAGCCGGCGACGTCTGATCCAGACGTGCTTGATTGGCTCAGAGCGGACCACGGCCGCGCGCACAGACAGCTGACAAACCACATCACCGATATTAATCAGCCAATTTGGCAAAACGGATTTGTCACGAGCGAGAGGACGCAACGAAATCAGCGCGGCCGGGCGGGGCTAATCGAATGTGCCGGCAGCCCGGGCGGCGCCGACTAGAGGCCCGTCAACACAGAGAGCTCGACCGGATCAAGCCAGGCTGGCCGCTCCGCATCCAAAGACGAGCCTGCCGATCGTGACCGGCCTTCAGTCTCCGCATCCAAAGACAAGCCCGCCGATCGTGACCGGCCTTCAGTCTCCGCATCCAAAGACAAGCCTGCCCATCATGACCGGCCTTCAGTTGCGGGCGCCATGCGAGGCTACCGGGAAGACAGGAACAGGGCCGACTGGTGGCCAGCTTCGGACTGGTCACCGAAGGACACCGGAGTTTCTGACACCTCCACGGACTGTCCATTTGTGGACACCAGGACCTCCTGCCACCTTCCAGTGACCGTCTCCTGACCCCCGCCAGTCCCGCGCTCCTCACCTGGCCGGCGTCTGCGGGGACGCGTCATTCGCCTCGCCCTCGGCCGCACTCAGCGCCTGCAAGCAGCCACAGACGCGCGTCCGCCATGTTGGACGGGCTGACAGATCACCGGCCATAACTCGGCCGCCATTTAGCCCGGCCACGAAACGGCCCGACAGACGGCGGCGGCCGTTGCAGCGACAGACGCCGCGCACATCACAGCAGACGTAATGGTTACTTTCACTGCAGGAGTATTTAGATTGGCTCGTTCGCGCGCGAGTATATGGCGCCTCCGCGCCAAGAACACCATCTGCCGGCTCCTAAATCAACTAGTATTTATGCAGACGACACTCGCCGAGTGCATACAATGTGCTCACGTTGCAGCGCGGCGGGGCGGAACGATAAAAGGTAATAAATAAACAGCTACCACTCACCTTGAGTATGTTCTTGGCATCAGCAACCGTAACTATTCCTGAAAGTACGCAATAATACAGCGATCAGACATGAAAGAAAGCTACGGAAGCTTGGAGGAATTAATATTTTACAGCGTCCCGACGAAGTCAAAATCACCTGTGCAACAGATGAACCTGAACTGTTGGACATCCGTTTATTACACCACTAACACCGATGAATGGTGGTGGTGGTGGATGCGAACACAGCATACTGTGCACTTCCCAGAAGCATGAGATTGTCAATAGTACATCGATGCTATTTTTGAGAATGACCCGCAATAATGACAATGCTCAGCGTTAACAACCTTGAAAATATAACAATAGCCAAAAACAACACACCATGCACAGCCAGCCTACAGTGACGGTTAAACTACACCTATAAAAATGACCCAACTAGCCTTTCGTAATTTTTCCAATACATTATTAAACTAATGCTCGGTATAATGTTCAGACATCACGACTGGATACACCCTGTCCTAACCTCCGCTCGTTTTAGGAAAAACAGGAGGCATAACAAAGAAGACGAGGCCGCACTAAGCGGATCTTTCTCGAATGATCTCCATACCCAACATGCTTCGGTCTAATAAGAAGATTTTCAACGATGACGTTGTGGCCATTAGGAAATTTAAATAGCTGACGAAACAAAATTTCATGCGCGAGGTGGATGGACGGAAGCATGGCACGCAGTATGACGGCATACGGCAGAGCGGAGACAGCCACCGTGACTCGTGGAACTGGACCTTTTCATACACCACTCATCGGGGACACCGAGACATAATGACGCATGGACCGGAATATTCGAGATGGGAATTCCGTCGACTCCATGCGACATAAATATTGATCGCAAAACACCTATTTTCCGAACGGAAGGGCCCGGCGCAGAGCCATGACCGCTGCCGCAAAGCCGCATGGACTCCACTGACTCAGCTCCGTCTTGGCTTACCGTCCAGATACACGTCACTACCCAGCTCCTTGTCCAGCCAGAAGATGGAGGCGACCGGTCCTGAAAGCGGCGCAGTGACATCACCCACAGCCTGCACGTGGCCCGAGTCAGCGCGGTAGCGCCTGAGCCGACCAGCTGGGAGCCAGCCGGCTCACGAGCCGCTTGGCGCCGCAAAGTGGGACAGCACTGCATAAATCCCGCTGGCGACACACTCTGGACAGGGCGCAAGCCATGTGGCTGTAACTGAACCTAAGAAGCAGGGCTGACGACACACTCTGGACAGGGCACAAGCCATGTGGCTGTAACTGAGCCTGAGAAGCAGGGCTGGCGACACACTCTGGACAGGGCACAAGCCATGTGGCTGTAACTGAGCCTAAGAAGCAGGGCTGGCGACACACTCTGGACAGGGCACAAGCCATGTGGCTGTAACTGAACCTGAGAAGCAGGGCTGGCGACACACTCTGGACAGGGCACAAGCTATGTGGCTGTAACTGAACCTAAGAAGCAGGGCTGGTGACAAACTCTGGACAGGGCACAAGCCATGTGGTTGCACCTGAACCTGAGGAGCAGGGCTGGCGACAACAAACATCTGGACAGGGCACAAGCCATGTGGCTGTAACTGAGGCCGGAGAAGGCAGGCTGGCGAACACACTCTGGACAGGGCACAAGCCATGTGGCTGTAACTGAGCCTGAGAAGCAGGGCTGGCGACACACTGGACAGGGCACAAGCCATGTGGCTGCAACTGAACCTAAGAAGCAGGGCTGGCGACAAACTCTGGACAGGGCACAAGCCATGTGGTTGCACCTGAACCTGAGGAGCAGGGCTGGCGACACACTCTGGACAGGGCACAAGCCATGTGGCTGCAACTGAACCTAAGAAGCAGGGCTGGCGACACACTCTGGACAGGGCACAAAGCCACCTGAGTAGCAGGCCAGACACTGCAAACGTCACTATCTAGTGAGCGGTCAGTGGTGGGTCGCACCCTGGACGGCTGCACCAGCGAAACGCAACGACCAGATTCTCACCGGGGTCTGCCAGTCCCGTAGTCTCCAGCAGGATATAGTCAAAGCGTCCGCGCTTCTTCATCAGGTTTTCTATCGCCTTCACGCCGTTGTCCCTACGGAAAAAAGGGAACGTAAAAAGCCTACATCAACGGCATACAGGACATAGACATGCTGTGCCTAGCTCAATACACTGTACGCATGACCACGGAAAGATCACAGGTGCCCAGTATGCAGGGAACACAGCAGGCCCCCAGCTTGCAGTCCCGCTGTGGCCACACATAATCCAATGCTCAGCTCCCAGCTAAATACCTAAAACAGATGGTCTACCTAGCACAGATAATAAGCAAATAAGTTCGCATATACGTGACACAACGTAAAAGTCTGAGGACATCCCTTCACTACTGGATGGGTTTTGGATCACGTGGCTCTGTGAAACTGACTGCAAACGAATATGGAAAGTGCAGACGCCTTCCGCGTTATCTTTGCAATTGAAATGTAGGCCAGCAAAACTTCACTTATTAACACGATGATCTCGGGATTCAGTATGGCACTGCATTGCATTTCAGCATTGGGGAGCCAATGGTGTAGCGGTCAATGCGTCGGCAGTAACCACTGCATGTATGGGAAACCAGAGGTAAGGGGTTCGATTCCCCGCAATGCACGCCCTTCCTGCCGGGTGAGAGACAGGCAACGCCATGTGACCTCAGCAGCTGAGTGTGTCGTGAATCCCCATTCACGACGATCTCAGCATTTTGTTATGGAAGAATCGCTATTGGTGCCGCGTCCCATCGATGAATATACCACATTTATAAACTGCGCTGGTAGAATTAATGAGCTTGTCGTCATGCTTTACTTGACTGAGCAGCAGAGACATCCATTCCTCAGCTCCAGCCACTCCTCATACATGTTGCCTTGCTCGCCTATGGAGAGACTCTTCTCCATAGCACTGCCTGGAAATGGAATTCAATCTTTGAGAGTCCATTTATAATCAGCCATCAGTTACATACAAATGCAGCCAAACAAGTGGATAAGTCCATCTATAGGTGGCACCTCTCAGGTCCTAGTGGTGGGTAATCTGAGCTAGTTACATGTGAAGTGTCCATTATAACAAAGACAATTTAACTATTGGATTATCCATTCATCAATCATTTAAAATATTTCAAACTGGCTTACCAAATGAGTGACATCATTACCTTCACCAAACTCATTTAGGATGACAGCTATCCTCTTATTATGCTGCTCTGTCAGTATGTAGTTCAGCAGTGTAGTTTTTCCAGCTCCCAGACAGCCTGTGATGATGAGCACTGGGATAGGAGCATATTCAGCAGGCACCAGCTCTGGGATGCAGTCCTCATCATCAGACATGATGGAGCTGTGCTGTAAAAAAGTAATTCCATTCAGAAAGTTTTACACATTTGATCAGCATCTTGATACATATCTGAGGTATAGTAGAATTGGAACAGAGTATATGTTCCTTCCCAGATTCACACAAGGTATCTGCATCAAAGGACCATTAAATCAATGACAACATGATGAATAGTTCCACATTGACATAGCTATATCTGACCACTTCTTACCCAAAAACAGCTTTATTGTGTATGTTATGCACATGACTACCTACCCATGACATCCAATACATGATGCTCCTGCCAATAATTCACTGGCAAACATTAACATTTGAGTATATGTGTTGTGTTTATATCTGACAGCATGCCTGACAGCTAATGCAGGTTATTTAACATTTAACTGGTGTTTAAGCTATCAGCATTCATGCAGCTGATCACAAATATGTGTTATTCCCATGATGATATGTTGGTCTACTCCTGATATCTTTTGAAGGGTTGTGCCCAATCAAAACATTTACTCATTTCTTTCTACCTGACCTGCTGATGGTATGCACATTGTATATATCTATCATGGGACAATTCTAACCAGGTATTCTTTACTGCCATCAGGTTCTGAAATGTTTCAATGATGGGGTACATGTGTGGATAACTCACAGCATGCTGATGACTACTCATAAATATTGTTTCTTGTCACTGCCAACACATATTCCTATCATAATGAGGATTGAAGTTTTAGAGTTTCAAAGTGTCACAACTAGTAAGTTAGTCCATTAAGATAATATATGCAGGATGACCATTAGGTCACTTCATGTTATACCACACATTAAGCTTAGAGGGTACTAACCACAATTTCTTTACTGAACTTCAACACCAGTGCACATAAGATCCACCTACTGCTCCAACTGCTCACATAACATTGCTGAGCTAAACCAAGGACTTGCATGCATCTAGCTTAGCCACAAAAATATTTTGAAATCATTCTGCCCCATATTATGTCTGCAACATAACAATTTCTTGGAACACTGACTAGCCTTACAATGAAATTAGTGCCCATCAAGCACTGAACTGGGTGCTCACACTTGTTTAAACACTGAAAATTTTGCCATGGTTTTGCTACTACGCCTAATGTGTTCGGCGTAGCATGAAGTTTTTCAGTCTAGACTCTGGCTTCCACATGCCCGAAACAAGCACGCCCAAGCACTGTTCAGTTCCACATAGGGGTGTGAACTACACACCAATTATTCGTCTCCTTTGCAGCTCAACGTTCTGAACGGTAATCTAGAGCTTAGGTCTCAATCAGAATCACGCAGAGTTGTTTAAAACCAACAAAACCCCACTTGAGCCGTACCGAAGTCCCGGGCTATTCACAATTCCAGCTTGGATATCACCACGGTGCCCACGGTAGCACAGGTTTGTATCAGGAGCGTCGACTTACATGCAGCTGCTGCGTTGCCAAATCGCTGCATGCAAGAAAAAGCTTCGGTCGTGTTTGAAGGTACTACCAGTCCAATTCAGACCGTACCCATAGTTCAGCAAAGGTCAGTCTTCGTAAGGATCTCAGACTAAGATAGCTGTCAGCATTTCTGTAAGGAGGAAGGGGAGCCCAATAATAATTCATTGCTCTAATTCTTTACTTTCTGTCACAAGCCATCTATAGTTACCGAAAAGATGCAGTTTCGGGGGAATGTTCCGTCCTTGTTCAGCAGTGTCCCTGCCCCACCCAAGCCCCTCCTCGGCATACGATCCCCTGATAGCCCCTGGACACCCTGGCCGACACAGGGACCCCAAACTTTCTCAGGTGGGTCGGACCAATGCGAGAGGCCGTCTGACCGACATTCGCGGGCCCCGGCCTTGTCCCTGCTTGGGAAACGCCCCCTTCCCCGCGCCTACGAAAGACGAGCTGCTCATTATTGGTGGTGTCCGGCCGAGGCTGAAGCGGCCTCCGAGGACTTCTTTACGTAAAGCATGAAACTTTTTCACATGTCTTGAAGAAGATGGGTGGTGGTTTGTGCAAATGGTTATTCGTTGCGAATATTTTAGTTAGCACAACAACCAAGAAATACAAATCGATTGTGAAGTGTGGGAGAGAAATGTGAACGCTGCTGCCCCCCCCCCCCCCCTCACGTATGAGGCATCGGCCCCACTGTCCTCGCCGTTGGTAAGCACCTGTCTTCAAATATTTCATGAAACACAGCTAGCAGGGACACACACACACGCACGCACTGACGCGATTTCGTGTTTTGTCGCGATTTCGCGTTCTCCTGCGTCGCAGCTCCTTGGAAGCGTCCGAAGATGCCTTAAACGTCGGCCTGGGCGTCCGGCAGCTTTGCGCTGCAGCACTGTGGCTGGCTTGCCATGCCTTAGCCGAGGGGGACCTACGGACGGGTGACCGGCCCACCCAGGCTGAGCTGATCATACCTTGGAATGTCTCGCTCTCCCCAGACGTGGAGGGCGAACCCGCCGCCAACCGTCACCCGGCAACGCGAAGTCCTCGTATCCAAACCCTTCAACCCCAGACCGCGGCTATCCCGCGCTCGGGCGATGACCACCGAAGGCCGGGAGTCGGACACCTCCCAAAAGCAAGAACCCACTAAACAAAGCCCAGGGCCGACGAAGCGACAAATATGCATAGCGTAATATCACCGTAAATACAGATGTTGGGGTCTAAACAGATATCTAGATCGACACACTACCGCCACAGACCCGTGGTGTGGGTTCGAGGCAAGCTTTCACGTTGGGGGACCGGAGTCCAGGTGACATCTTCAGCCTAGCTCTTGGGACTGTGCTTCACACCCCACCTTGATGAAACTGGGCCTCCAGTCACTGCTGGGCGGCCTTTCCGCTCGTGTTGAGCTACCATACATAAATATCAAATGAACACCTGCGTTGGCTCACTGAACGTTAGACTTGGCGTTAAAAATCGTTCTCCTGGACAAAACAACTTTACATGACCACTCAAGAAAACTTTGCAGGCGGCTCAAATATCCGAAGGTTGGGAGCGGCTTTAAACAGAACAATATAAATACGTACTACACACCCAAGCATCCCGAGCCAACGCCGCTTCAGCAAGCCTGTCGGGTACCGAACAATTGCAAAATCCGCATCTGAGATCCCAGCATCGATCTCCCACGCCCAGCATACCGGGTGTGCAATCTTGCATCGTCCAAGGTTTGCCGGCCTGTCGCATGCAGGTGAGCGCTACGTGTCATCAAGCCTGCTGGGCTTAGTGTAGGCAGAAAGCCGGGACACTGCCGTGAATGAAAGCTGAGTATCAGTAAAATAAATGCAGTTTTAAACATTGCGATGTCTTGCACTGCTCCGCTTCATCACCTTGCCATGACATGGACCGTCAGCCGTCTGACCGACTTTTTACTTCGATATACCAACCTTCCACGCAAGTTCTGACGCACACTCATAAACATGGGTTCTGTGAAAATCACTATTCACGTCTTTACAGCACACACGCTGATCACGAAACCACCGCCTGCTCCCCCGGCCGCCTGTTCGTCCGCATGTTCAGCGCTGTCAGTACATCGATGTTGGCCGGGACATCACAGGTGATACTGCGCCACCACTGGTCCTCCCGTTCAGCGCCACGATCACCAATGGTGCTTTGGTGCAAATGTGTTCTTCACGCGCCGATCTGCACGTTCAGCAGAGCCATCGCATCACTAATATACGACGCGGTGTTCACGTTGGTCGAGATGGCCACATCGAAGGCCTTCTGCATCAGCTGGCTGGCATACTCTGGAAGGGAGAGAACGGTCAGAGGGTTACCGGTTAGTAGTCGCATGCCTCGCCACAAACGGCGTCTCCATCACTAGACACCCTCGAGCGTTGTACAGCGGATCCTCACATGACCTCCACATATACAATGACCTTCGGCAAAATGTCAGCGAGCATCAGCAGACCGCAACCCCACAGTCCTTCCGGATGTAAACACAGCTGAAGGAACCACTCTCCGCGGGACAGCAGACTCTACGCCGAACCTGAACTAAAAGCGTGAAATGCTGACACAGCAGTCGCACGCCGTCCCAAACCCGGCACAACGCGAAGCCAGCGACAGCTCTTGGCACTGGTTCCCCCGTGTGCCACTGTTCGGCCGACCGGCTCCCCCCGCTGATTGGTCAGCCGATTCCATCGCCGCCCCCGCTCCCCCTGCCTCCGGCGCCGGCGCCGGCCGTCCGTCTCGGCCCTCACCCTGCGCCAGCACGACGATCTCCGGCAGCCGGTCGAGCACCATCGAGCGCACGCACTCGTCGCCGCTGTCCAGACACTCGAAGTAGGCCGACACGCAGCGGTCGGCGGCCGTCGGCGTCTGCTGCAGGTGGCGCAGCAGCAGCTCGTGCGCCAGTTCGCGCACCGACGCGCCGCTGCTCGACAGCAGGTCGCAGAGGTCGTCCTGCCGGACACGCAGGCCGTGCGTTGACGGTACAGGGCGACGTGTGCTGGGCAGCGGAGGAACGGCACGCCATAGGAGTCTAACGCCTGTTTTCGCAGTGGGTGCACCTGACTACAGATTTACGTTCACGTCGTTCATGCACTTGAATAACACATATGGACTTGCAACTCACACAGATATAAATATACATATAACAGACATGTAACAGGGACTACATGTGCAACATAGAGCACCTGACTGTATATTTATATCGCCGTCGTTGATGTGCTTGAGGAATACATATGCAATTCTGACTGACAGGGACATATTGCACCAGACGAAATCCTACCTCGCTGCCCATCTCGCTGCCTTCTCCGTGAACTCCCCATCGCTCTCGTCCACCACCCCTCTCCCTACACCTGCGCGCCGCCACTCACCACGAACTGATCGAGCACGCCGACGCGGCGGGCGGCCAGCGCCTTTAGGTCCTGCAGCACGGTCGTCAGCTCGTCGCTGCTCTCGGCGCTGTTGAGCTTCATCATGAGGCCGGACAGCTGGGCCGGCGAGGGGCCCTGGTCGGGGCCGGCCGGCAGCGGCGCCGGCCCGGCACCGGCCGACGTCAGGCACGAGGCCAGCGCTCGCAGCAGCGGCTGGTCCGAGAACCGGGCCGACAGAGAGCTGGTGGCGCCGTACAGAGCCGGTCAGACGCGGCACGGCAGCGGGTGGTGGGACACGGGGAGGGTGAGGGGCAGGGCTGGTGGCGCCGTACAGAGCCGGTCAGACGCGGCACGGCAGCGGATGGTGGGACACGGGGAGGGTGAGGGACAGGGCTGGTGGCGCCGTACAGAGCCGGTCAGACGCGGCACGGCAGCGGGTGGTGGGACACGGGGAGGGGAGGACGAGGGACAGAGCTGGCGACGCCGCATGTAGCCGGTCAGACGCGGCACGGGAGTACGTGGTGAAACACGGGGGGGGGGGGGGAGGGTGAGGGACACGGCTGGCGGCGCCGTGCAGAGCCGGTCAGACGTGGCACGCGAGCGAGTGGTGGGACACGGGGAGGGTGAGGGACACGGCTGGCGGCGGGGCTCTACCTGGGCAGATACGAGACGCAAAGCTGGCGAGCGCGGAAACGACGAACGACATTCGGTATATTTCAATTCGATTTACGCCTAAACAAAGATGGGCTTCCAAGACCAAGTGACGTAATTTTCAAAACAGTCAATAGCGCCCCAAGAGTTAAGCGAACTGTGACGCAGAAGGGCAGCCTACATGATGAGGTTGGAGTACTTGTTGAGAAACTGGGACGCTTCCGCCGGCGCGTGAGAGACGAAATTGTTGAGAATGACGGCGATGCGGGGAATCATTGCCGTCACCTCCTTCAGGTTATGTCTCTGCCGACAACATAAACACGTGTGAATGACACATGAACGAGAGGGATGTGAACGAAGTCGGCATGTATGAACGGGTTCGCACTGCGTCAGACTCACTGCACAGCTGACAATAAAAAAGGAAATACTAATAACTGAGCTTGGACATGGGATCGAAGACACTCCAAGCGACATTGAACCGTTTGTCCTTAGACCATGCAGCGGCAGCGGCGTGTTTGATCCAAAGACAAGGCGTTTGCAAGCAGGCGGCAACCACCTCGAAGCTCTCTCGGATCCGTCTACTGCTGCTGACCCGGTCAAACATTGCATCCCCCGCAACGTCCGATGTCAGCGTTTATCTCGATGCGAATAACTGAGAACCACTGGAGGCGGCCACGAGCATAGTGCGGGACGTGCCGCGCACATCCCAAGACAAATATACCATACGGACGATGTTGGAAGGGTCAACTGGAACACATGACAGGAGGTCAGTGTGCTGCCCAACGGTGCGCGTGCGACGAGAGCAGCACGCAACAACGCATCAGGAGCACGTGACGCGCGTGACAGGAGAAGTTCACCGTACTGTCCAGCGGTGTGCGTGCGACGAGAGCAGCAAGTGACAGCGCATCAGGAGCACGTGACGCGCGTGACAGGAGCCCGGTACACCGACGAGCGCCGTGCTGCTCTGCCAGAGAGGTCACCCCAGCCTACGTGCCAGTGGGAGCCCAGCGCTGTCGGCGGCCGGCGCCACGCAGCGCAGACGTGTCGGTCACCTGCAGCATGTGGCAGTACGAGTCGAGAATGTCGACCAGCGCGGTGCGGTGCTGCGACAGGTAGACGTGCGGCTGCAGCAGCTCCAGCACGCCCAGCAGCTGGGCGAACAGCACGGCGTGGTTCCTCAGCCGGAATACGGGGCCGTCCAGGTGGGTCCGGCCGCGCATCAGCGACGCCATGATCGGCAGCTGGCTGCACACACACATATACACACATACACATGACCGTCAGGCTTCAACACATTAACATATTCCCGCAACAATGTCTGCTGCTCAGCACTGGGTTCTCGGTATCGAGTAACTACGCGCACATACACACGCCACTCACATGATTCGTGACTGTGCTGTATCTGTATCAACCGTGACTGCATCAAACAACCGCACGTCAAACAACGTAGGGTGGTCACGCAGAGCAGAAGGCAGACCCAAACTTCTCAACTCGAATGTGCTATCGCTGCAAAACGAGCAGCCATACTTCTCACTCTACATCTGCGCCGTCAGTTACGAAAGAATGGAAGCGGACGAGCTTGTTCATATCATCGGTCCGCCCCCACGCCTACAGCGTCACCAGCGCTGCACCGTGCCCCGCCCCTCCCCGCAGGTGAGCCGGCCCCTCCCGGCTGACCGAGCCCCACCCCGCGGCCGTCACTGACCGCAGGAAGAGCACCGGATGCGTGGCGGCCATCTTGCGGAGTGAGATCTCGAAGTCCCTCATGGTGGTGATCCACTCCTTGCCGGGCCGCGTGGCGCCGATGGCCGTCAGCAGGGTGTGCGAGAGGGAGTCCAGCACGCTGACGCCGCCGTCTGCCGGGCGCGAGCCGACCGGTCACGACCACACCGGCTGACGCTGGACGAAACGCGACTCAGACGCGACGCCTGTGTCGACCGACTCTCCGGAGATGTGGCCAGTAGAACACGCAGACGGGCGGTGGCTGCCCACGCTGGCCGTCAGTGCCGACAGTCACAAGTCTGGTAGCATGCACTGATCTTTACACCCCCAACACCCAACTGGATGACTGTTGGAGCACTGAGCCAGCAGCACCGACCGACCTATCAGCGCCGACTGCAGGAACTCGGCGTCGTCGGCCAGCTGCGAGATGATGTGCGGCAGCTGCAGGTACAGCTCCAGCAGCAGACGCTCGGCCGGCGCCGCCGCCGGGCCGCCCGCGGCACGCGCGGACAGCAGGTGCGCGACGGTGGCGGCGACTAGCGGCGGCCGCCGGCGACAGCAGCGCAGCAGCAGCGGCAGCCGAGAGCGCACGTCGGCGCCGTCCGCGCTGCCCATTTCGCTCACCACGTGACGCACCAGGCTCACCATCTAGCGCAGCGGAACGGCGGTTAAAAAAATCGAGCGCGAGGGACGGGACCACGTTGTAACGATACCGATGACAGAGGATCCGCCACTGCATCAGCGTTGGCAGAGCGCGGCGCACGGCTGAAGAAACGCGGAAGAACGACAATAACAGCGCAGGTCTCCAGGGTCACCCAAACGCAGCAGACAGCACAGGTTATTGCATGACGTTACAAAACTATAGCATTGTTATTGCATGACGGTGCATGGCGGTAAAATTACCGACATCCGAGACCAACACAAGTTTGCGGCGTCGCCCACACGCAGCAGAGGGCTGCCCATGCTGGCCAAGACGCCCACTGAGGGGATCAGCGACGTGCCGACGCAGTCTAACAGCTCGAGGACCGCCCTGTCCACGGACCCATACCACCGGCTCTGGAGCGATGTTACAGGGATGCGCCATGTGCGCCGGTGGCGCCACCTACCTGCGGGAGACTCAGCCGCAGCAGCTCACCGCTCTCCTGGCGCGAGGCGACCGACTTGTCCTGGCCCTGCCACAGGCGCGGCACGTACAGGCACGCCCACAGGAAATCCAGCACGATCGTGGAGTCGTACCTGAAACACGGCGCGCCACGTCTCAATCCAAGCGGCCTCTGGCGCGCGGACAGTCTGGCGCGGTCACGTAGTGTCACACGAGGTCACAGGGGGTTGGGCGCAGCCCTCATGGGGTCAAATACACGGCCCCTGCGGACACTGTCAGGCACACCACCCCCAATCTTGGCCTAAACTGGCGCAGAAGTGTGCTCCCGGCACAAAATCTGGCCCAAAGGCTCCAACGGCTTACGAGAATGTAGATTCAAAAGTCAGGTCTGGTCATCCTCACAACAAGGGGCTCATCCCTTCCATCATGAGAGCGTCATGGACAAACAATCCTTCAACCATTTTTCTTTGCTGCTGGCGATCACCATGACCTTGGTGCATTGAGGGCAGGGAGAATTTCCACCGTGGGTGTTTTGAGGATGTCTAGTGTGGTGGCCCCTGTTGACAGGAGTTTAGCGATGTCTCCCATTCAAGGTCCATCATGCGTTATCCTGCACGCCCAGTGGTGTCATCAGCTGTCACCAGGGGCGGTTCGAAAAGCATCCTTTCAAACCTGAAATTACGACATCATTTCTACCTTTCGAGATCATTTTTATCTGAACACAAGGACCGGCACATTATTCATTACGAGCCCTAGACCGTGCGACTTGTGCCCGGATGCCGAGGGGAGGGGGGGGGGGGGGGGGAGGGGAGGTAATGCGAGGATTCTGGCGTCCAGGTGCTTTTTTTCGTCCCAAGTAGCATTCCCGTTCCTGCAGTGGGACTTCCGCGCCGCCTGAGGCGGTCATGGCGTCATATGTCATGACCATGACTTCATCGCCGGCGCGTCCACAGCCGAGTCTGGTCTTTACTCCGTCGGTACCTGATACGATCAACGGTCCTCCGTTCTGACATCACCGTCTCCCAATGTCAAAGGCCATATCGTATTCGACATGTATTTTCATCATTGTGCAAGTAGTAATCATTAGACATCGCTGAAACACGCAACCGATGTGGGCAGCGACGCCAGAGCAGTCAATGCCGTCGAACACGCCGAAGGACCACGACACAGCAGTCAACATAACGGAAAGGCAACACGCAAGCGCACTTGACATTCATGAACGCAACATAAAGCGTATGCGCCGCCTGGTATCCGTCAGTTGTCACACTATGAGATAAGACATGAGCGCTGCTACACGGAGACGATGCGTCTCCAAAATATCCCTTAAAACGCAATCTGGGGGTCTAGACAGACACGTTTCCGCCATTACTGCCATCACGCACCGGAGACCAACCCCTTCGACGCATGCGCAGTCCCCACTGGCGCTTCGACTACCAGCTGGCCGCCACGCGTCAGCCGCGAGGTCACGCGGTCAGGGTCGGCGCCAGGAGGCAGCGCGACCCTGCGCTCGAGGTGGACCGTCGTGCTTCCACCCTCGGCCTCCTCCTCGTGGACGGCCTTCACCGTCAGCACGCCGTCAGCGACGCTGACGCCGACCTCCTCCGGCAGGAAGTCCCGCACGTCCACTGTCAGACAGAACATGTCTTCCCTGCGCTGCTCAGATCTCATCCCCTGAGCCCTGATGCTGCTCCGCAACCACTTCACCCTCCTGGCGCCGCTCCACGACCTCTTGGACTTGCCCCTGCGCCACCCTGCGCCACATCCATGACCTCATCGCCCTCTGGTTCACAGGCCGCGCTGGCGGTGTTCTCCGACGCGGACGCCGGGCAGTCGGCAGCGACTTCCCCATCAGCTTCGCCTTCGTCCTGGCTGTCATCGGCGGTGCCGGCCACGTCCCCGACCTCTGGCTGATGATCTCCAGCCGGAGCGGCTCGCGTGCCGGCAGGGTCCTGGTCAGAACCAGCCACGACCGCCCGCTGTGCGGCGTTTTCTCCCGCTGGCGACGCAGCTCTGTCGTCAGCAGTCCGCTTGCTATCGTCGGCATCCTCCCTGTCAGCGCGTTCTCCGGACGCAGCCGTGTCAGTATCCGCCGCTGGCTCCGCTTCCTTCTCCTCCAACCGCGTCGCCGGAGTTCCCGCCGACTTATCCTCCACAGCGTGAGCGCTGGGAGCGTCGTATATCACCTTCACCATTCTCGCCCCCAGCGCCGGCCGATCGAGCGGCGGGGCCTCCAGCACCAGCTGGCCTGACCGGGTCAGTCGGGAGGTGAGTCCGTCAGCTCGCACGTGGTCCGGCAGCAGTCACCCTCCGCACCATCCTGCTGGAGACGAAGCCGCTATCGGAGCGCTCCTTGTGGAGGGCACGCACCGTCACCACTCTGCCCGACAGCTTGACTGTCACCTCCTCCGGCCGGTAACCGGCGGCGTCGACCGTTAGCCGGAAGCCCTGGCCTTCCGGCCGCTCCTCTTCCTCGCGTAGGCACAGTCGCTTCGTTGCCATCGGCTCAAGCGCCTGACAGAAGTCGCGTTTCAGCGCCCGCTGCAAGCCGTGGACGAGCGGGTCGCACGTGCGGCGCTCAAACCGCGTAATCTCAGACCGCGGATCCCAGCACGGCATCCGGCGAGGCTCGAAAAACAACAGCGTCGACATGTTGGTCTCTCTTGCTCTCCAGCCGTTTCCACGCGAGCTCCACCTTCCCTGACGAACGGAATGATTCTGATGTCGCAGAAAGATGCCTTGTGGTTATATACTAGAAGAAACTGGTCCGCTGAAAGCCGAGAACGTTCCCGATGCAAGACCGAACATCGCGATGGCTCTCGAGCTCCGCCGCGTTCCAGAACCATTGCGAATTCCCAGTGACCAATGAGAGCTCAGTACGTACATGACGTCATGTACGAACCGCCCAACGAGACAGGACACATTCCGTGACGTCATGGCCAATGTGGAGCATGTTCGCGAAACAGATCAACACTACCTCGACGAGCTGAGGCATTTCCACAATTTTCTGGAGGCTCGATAAAATCGTTGCGTGGGTCGACGAAATGCGGGCATCCGCACGCATCCATGTGACTGCGCACACTCCGACGTGGGCTTCAGCTTTACATCTTTTGGGTCGCAGACTACAAAATAATATTCTTTCTTTCGACAACTGCTATGCGCGGCCCATCTTCCGCGCGAAGAACCTGAATGTGAGACAACTTTTTAACCATTTGTATGCAACTTAGTAGGACTGCTTGAGGAAAGCAATGAAATTTTTCCCATCATCCGGTGACAATAAAACGGAGCGCTGACACGTTTTGTATCTCAAGCCAAAAGTCTTGCATTTCATAGCGTCATATACAGCCAACTGTATTCGCACAAACAGCCAGCACGCACGCGATACGCTTCAAAGGAGCCGTATCTGTCGGCAGCACAAGTACGCAACGGCATTTCAAGTTCTTCATTGACACATGCAAAATACCTTGCAAGGCTCCAGTAAACGAGCCTACCGTGCTCTGATGAAAACATATCGGGTGAACGTCCATTCGCTACATGACTTCATCCTATATTTGGCTTCTACGTGATTCCCGCTATTCTGCCTTGGAGGGTTTCCCCTTCCACACGCTTCATCTGTGCATCTACTCCGTAATGATGCTGACACAGGAAGCATACACATGCGTTTTACCGCTTCTTTCATCCATCATCACCGCGACAACGCTAAGACCAATTCTTTTGATTCGTAGGCAGCCAATGGTCTGCCTGCCTCCTCCTTCAGCTGCAGAAACGTTCCGAAAGACCTAATCTTAGCTGTGGGGTTACGCCTGGAAACGTTTACCTCGACTAGTGCTAAGGTTTCGGATTTACAGCACTTCAAAACCAGGATGCAATAATAAAACACGCTTTAAAAACAAGAAGGCCCATATCTGCCTATGGAAATAACTGTATTCAAAGATAGTCTACACTGAAAGGGCGCAGCAAATAATAAGTACATATAGTTTTACGGAATAATTAAGGCAGAGAAATAATAATCGTGGATGGAATGAGTGTTTAGACTATGGTCCTAGGTATATTTAGCATTGTCCCAACCAGACGTTCGGAACATGTAACACACTTGTGAACAATATACTTATTGAAATATCTTCAAACTCGAGTGTTTAGTGGCATTGCGCAATACATGGACATAGCACCTCCTCTCACCCCTACGCCAAATCACCCTCCCACACGCTCTGAACGGCTCTAGCCGCCTGGCGACCGTTCTCGAAAACACCAGAACGCCAGCTGGCGATCGCCACCATTCATACTGCCGCTCAGCTACCCACCAATCAGGGCCAGCGTTGTAGCTACATGCGACGTTTGGACCAATGACACGCGTCAGCG